ACGGAGGCAGTGCACACTCTCACCGCACTCGCTCTGACCCTGTTGAGACCGCCTGACTGTCTGGGGCTTCGGCCTTGGACCACTCGCGGCTTGAGCCAAAATGGCTACTCTTACTCTCTCTCTCTCTCTCTCTCTCTCTCTCTCTCTCCCCCTATGTGGGAGTACACCCCGGCTGCCGGCAGCAGTGGGAGTGGATTTACCCTGAAAACATGCTGCCTTCCCCTAGTTCATACCAGACCCTGAGTACTCAAAGGAAAGATCGTCTTCCGGACAGCCAAAGGAGAGCAGGAAAACCCTACCTGGTTTCCAGATCTCCTGGGATGAGGCTTGGCTTTGAACTCTTGAAACCCCCCTGCATGAACACGACGAAGCAACCACGGCCTCATCTTAGGGCTCGCTTTTTAACTCTCTCGTTTCTTCCACACTGCCAGAACAGGTCGCATGCTTCCCCCCCACGCGCGAGCGCGGTCTGGGTTAAGGGGATCTACACTCGTTCTCTCTCTCTCTCTCTCTCTCGCTCTGCCTCGACTTTTTCGGCAATCAGTGTAAGCCATGGGCGGGTTGTTCTGCAACATCTCCCAAAGCTGATCTCGGGAGAATGCATTACCTTTTGCTCAGAAGCTGCTGGAATCATCTTTAGGAGTGATTGCATCGAACTCCAGCCTTCAGAGTCGCCTCCCTCTCCCATCCCTCCAGTTGCACTCTCGGAGCTTGTCCTTGTTCCACTGGTAAGAACAGACACACGGCGAGCAAGAATTAGCCGGAGCCTGTCCAGCCAGTTTTGGAACCAATCAACTCGTTCGGCAGAGCCTAGCGTCTCTTCTCCAGCCACACTGACGAGCGTTCTGAAAACCAGTTCACAGAAGCTGCTGAGCGAATCGGGCGTGGTGCCTTGCTCAAGTTCCTTGCCTGGCCCTGGACCGTATTGGCTCAGCTCCGCTGCCAACTCTTTTGCAGCCTCGCAGTTCAGACGGAACAAGCACCAGCGCAGCATCAAGCAGTCACAGTCACAAGCACTGCGATCTTGAACGTCTTCTTCTAGGGCAGAGCCGAACCGAGGCGATCGCCTCCGTTTCGTCCTCACTGGTGGCCAGCTGTTTCTCGCAGTTGCCGTAGCGCCTGCACGGAGAGGAGTGGAGCGATGTGCATTGCACCGCGTGCAATCTGCATGGCATTTTTCGTGTGATCGTCGGCTCTGAGGCCGTGGCTTCTCCAACGCTTGAGGCAGCGTAATCCCTGCATGCTCTGCCATCGATGCATACGCCTGACAGTACCGCTGGCAAAAGCTCTGCCGTGATCGAGCCATCGAGCACTCGGGCTCCAAAGTTGCTGTTACGGGCCTGCCTTCCGGAAAGCAGCGTTTTCAGGCGCTTCAAACGGACCTGGAATAAACTCCACCGGCTCACCTGGCACCTCAGCACAGTGTGTCCAAGGAAATGAGCCCACAGGGCCAGCTCTGCACTCAGAGTCCACCGCACACTGCCATGCACTAGTGTATTCTTAGCGTTGCTGTTCAGCGTGGAGCCTTTTCATGATTGACGCTGTCACGTGTTGTCTATGAACTTCGGCACCAGCTGGGTTTCAGCACATCAGAGTATGCGTCTGATCTCATGAAAGGGTTGTGGCACACGAAGGTCTCTACACTCGCAAGGGTTCAGTCTGCACGAAGCTGTGACACCTAGTACACAGACGCACAGAAAGGAAAACCCCGAACCCTCTCTCTTCGCTCATGCTTGCTCTCTTTGCGCTCTTTGCTCCGTCTCCCTCTCTCCACGGCCTAACCCCCCCTTCGGCCCCTCTCTCTCTCTCTCTCTCTCTCTCTCTCTCTCTTGCTCTCTCTCTCTCTCTCTCTCTGGGATTCTGGATTGCTGTTGCCCCGTAAGGTGTCTAGGTCCAGGTCTCTCTGCTCGACCTCAAACCGCGTGGAATTGAATGTTCCTCTTCTCACAGGATTCACCACAAAGCAGTGTCTGCTTGGGTACATGAAGGCATTCAGCGGAGATCCCAAAACATGGTCGTTTGTTGAAGGGCCTTTTGCAACGTCGCCACAGCCGCCACTCCGACAACCGTTGCACTGACGATTGTGTTCTTCTACCGATGAGGCGACATGGGTGGGATTCCAAAACTCCCATTGCAGACCAACCTTTTGAAATTGAAGTGCAGCAGTGGGGAACTTTCTCTCTTACTTGTCTTCTTCCACAGGGCACAAGAGGGAGAGTAGCATGCAGGCCTCCCCCTCTCGCGAGCAGCAAGTCCGGTACACCTCTGTAGACTCTTCCCATGAGAATGAGTACCCCGAGTTCCCCCCACGTTTGCCTTTTTTTGGGCACCGTCTCTGGGGCTGCTCAGACACAAGCTTTGCATGGCTTCGCGGCTTCTACCCCTCCCGCCGCTTTTCAAAACCCGCTTTTCCTCCTGCTCGGAGCCAAACACTGCCCAAACACTAACATATTAGATCAGGTCTCCCCTGTAGTCCGTCAGGTTCACTGTCTTGAGTGCACTATGACCACCCCATGCTCTGGGGAGGCCTCGTCACTCTCTCTCGCTCGCCTTCGCTTTCTCTGTGCAGCCACTGGTGACATTTCTCTGAAACAGCCTTGCCATGTTTGATGAGTCAATCTGAGGCAGGCACATCACCACCACCCAAGAGTACAATCATACAAGAGAGATTGTCTTTGGATCCGCATTTAATCGCCTGTTCCGCGCGAAGTAAATCACAGCATAATATCAGACCACCCCCTGAAGCAAATGTCGCCTCGTGGCATACGGCAATCGCAGCCTGTGCGTCATGTTGCTGGTCGAAGCTGCCGAATCATGTGATCGTAGCAGCCCTAGCACTCTCCGTTGGAGGCCTGAGCTGGGTCAACTGGTTGGCCCTCACCAATCTGCAGCTTCTCCGCTGCCAATTTGACAACGGCCTCGTTCGGAAAGCTGCCTGCGCAAAGCCCGGGGTTATCTCAGCAACTTGGTAGGTTCACAGAACTGCGAAAAAGTGCGAAGCACGCCTTCCGATATTCCATCACAAACCAGCATAAGAAAATCCGTGGGTCCGCAATCGAACTCCTGACACGAAATACGGCGCAGCAGCAGCCACGGCAGTGAGATTGCATCACTAGCCTGAAGCTCGGGGGCGCAGCTCACCGGGTGGTCCTTCGGACTTGGACCTGAGACAGTGACAACTCGGAGTCACAAGCACATCACATTTTGAACCGCGCCTCCTGTGTTCTTGTGCTGCGCATCACCGAAGGCACGGCTAACGGCCAAGTCTCCATTCACCCGTGCCACTCCCATTACCTGGTGCCATCCAGAAGGCCCGCGTCATTTCAAGAACGAGTCAATCGAATCTAGGCTCGGGACTTCCTGCACGTTACCGCCAGTGCGCTCAATCCGCGCTCTTTCGCTCGGAAGGTCTGGCTTATGGTCCTCGCAGGTCTGCACTTCGCGCAAGCGGAACAACAATGCTTTCCTGGGGCTTGCAGACAGTCTTGCAGTCTGCCTACCACGCATTTTACGGTATCAGGGGTCCGTGGTGAGGCCACGGTCGGTTCCAGGCCCAGGGAAGATCGAACCATCAGCCCGCCCCAGAAGCACACGGCTATCGCCAATGTTGCCCACTCGGAGGTGATAGTCGCCTGCATGGCACCGAGAGGAGCAAGAGCCCTCTCATGGGCACAGCAGGGCACGGAAGCTGTGGTGCCTCCAGGCGTGCTTGGCGCTTGAACAATGACAAACGTTCCTGTCGATCCACTAGGCTGGTTGGAGTCGAGAAACTCCTTGTCTAAGCGGAATGCCTGTCAATGCTCCAGGAAGCAGTTGCTCAATACACCCTCCAACTTCAATACCATAAACCCCCTTGCGCAGACTGGGGCGCCGGCCAATTCTGTAACAGCGTCGTCACTTTCGGGCATCCCACTTTTTGCAAGCTCTTCGTTGATGCGTCTGGCTATGAAGCCAGAACACTGGTCACCTCCGTGACCATCGAAGACTCCGAAAAATCCCCAGGTATCTTGGGCATAGATGACGTGGGCATCCTCCATGCTCGGTCGCCATCCGTTCATCTCTGCAAAACCAACTCGAAAGGCCGTGCCGCCAACTCGCCTTTGCAGATCGCACGAGTTGAAGCAGCTCGCAGCTGAGGCTTCTGGTTTCAAGCCAAGGAACTTGACCGCCACCGAAGTGACGGCCTTTGGCAAGCCCTGCCCCATATTTTGGAGGTGGCAGCTGCCTTCCGTGTGGCCCTCCTGCCAATGCAAAGCGAGCACCTCAAGCTACCAACCGTTTCTGCACCAGGACTGCGCCTGAAAACTCTCTGTTGTTGGGCCGGGCCAGCTGAAATCCCAAATGCCACACAGATTCATGGTACAAAGGACTCAGAAAGCCAAGCAGGCGTGAGTCGATCTGATCACTCACATTGCAACTGGGAGTGGAATCTCGTGGTCTGAGTGCACGGTACTTTTCTTGCCACTGCACGCTCAGTTCTCTGTCCCACTCTGTTCCACAAGACCTTCTGCAGCGAATCATGTAAAAAATGCTGGGAGGCTGTTACGGGCGCAGCCTTGCGCACCTCCTGCGTCAACACGGTCTGCGCTCATTTTCGTGATGAGGCAATGGTGAAACCTTTGGCCTCTGCTTCTTGCAAAGGCCTCCTCAGACAGCGACAGCTCGAGCCTCGGTCGCAAGAAGCGAAAAGGCGCTCTCGTCTCGAGCCTCCTCAGAGCCAGACCTCCTATGTACAGGCCAAGACAGGGCAAGGCCGTGCGTTTCTGTTCGGACGGTCCACACAGGCACCTGCAAAAGCGGCAAGAGAAACGAAACTCCAAGAGCCAAAATGATGCTCTACTTCGACTAGCCCCTTCAAGGAATACCTTTATGTTAAATGAAGAAGGACGGGAGAAGCAGCTGAAGGAAGGATTAACATGATTGAGATGTACAGCCAACACACTTCATGGCAACGACAACCGCAAGGCGAGCTCTGAGGCACTGCCAGCAATGGTCCTACCTCAGCCTGCAGCAGCATTCCGCATGCGACCTAGCGCCGCCCATTCCTCAGCGGTGCCCGAAGCATTCTCGGAGAATCTTCTCGAATACCGGGCTCTGGCATCGTCGCGATCGCGGCCTCGGCCTTTGCCACGGTCCTTGCCTCGCAGCTCGAGGAGCTCACGGAGCTCGAAGCTCAGAAGCGAGGACGGAAAGGAGCGCACCGCCGCCACCGCCGCCGGCACTACCACTGTTCTTGCCTGCAGTTGGAAGCCGACAGAGACTCGGACTTGGTGTGGCGGAGGACCGGAGCGGCTCAAGTCCAAGGGCAGCGCCTTGGCCCTTGTTGGCCCCGCGGCCTTGAGCACCACAACAGAAATACTCACGCCGCTACTCGTACGTGTTCCCCGTTATAAGCTCCGAGCCCTTTTTGCCACCCCAAGCCTTGCAAGCAAAAAACGGCAATGCATCAAAGCAGGGTCCGGTCCGTGCAAGCAGTCGGTCGGGAATCCAGCATCTCCACCTTTCCACCCACTGCCTCACGAACTGAAGCGACGGAGAATGCACAGCTGACCCGAAGCTTTCCCTTCCGTCCATACTGCCTTGATCGTCTCCATACCGGTCCTCCTCCTGAATTGTGGGGCAAGTCACACAGTCCTTCCTCGTCCTAGTATCGAAGCGTAATTGTGTGTGTGTGTCTTGACATTTGAACATTCGGAATTCGGAGTTCCACTTGTGCCTTAAAACTGCAGCATTGATGGAGTGACGCAACACTTCCAAACACGAGGTCGTGCCTTGCCTCCTCCAACGCTTGGCTGATGCGAGGAAGAAGCATTGCAAACAGTGAGAACTCCGGGCGTTTATCGACTGAGGCAAGTCCGTGCGGGCCTCGTTCCAAGAAGGGCGGCCGCCTTGCAGTGAGGTCTGCTGGATCTCAAACCTCCCCTGCAAAGCTGCGTGATCCTGCCTTGGAGCATGTTGCGATCTTCATAACCAGTTCCACCTTTTCCTGTGGCACCACTGCATCCGCTGCAGGCTCCATGGCCGCCTCCACAACCCGGTCCACAGCCACCGGAAGCACAGCCAGCGGCAGCACAGCCGCCGGCAGCACAGCCACCTGCGCAGCCTTGACAACCACAGCCACCACAACCCTGGCAGCAACCTCCGCCAGCCCAACACCCTTGGCACCCTTGGCCCGGGCAACCCTGGCAACCCTGGCATGCTTGATAGCCTTGACAGCCCTGGCAGCCTTGGCATGCCTGACATCCCTGACACCCTCCGCAGCCATAGCCACAACCCTGGCAGCCCTGGCAGCTTCCACATCCTCCACAACAGCCACAACCTCCGCAAAGGCTTCGGAGGATGACAACATGCAGCCAGAGCACACGGCAATCTGTGCAAGTGATGTAACGTTCAGTTTAAATGAACTTGCGCAGCGGTTGCAAGGATTAGAATCACCAGAGCATACTAGAGCAACCTGATAATTCAATTTGCAAGCTGCCGACAAACATGCGCGCCTGCTCCCGATTGCTGCTGCTGTGCCATTTGCTGCTGCATCATCTGCTGTTGCATCATCATCCTGCCATACAGGATCAGCTGCGTCGGCTCTTCATAACGACATGCGGCGTCCCCTTTGCTAGGGCTAGTGTGGAGGCCTGATGAAGCGCTGCACCCCAACTCCACACACTTCAAGGCCATGCCAGCCGAACTGTTGCTGTTGCGGGCTCATTTGGCTCATCCACCCGGAGTTTATGGGCATCATGGCCTGGCCATTGCAGACTTCGACTTCCGCGAAACAAGAAGATTCAAATTTCTGCACAGCCTGTGGACTTCCGTGGAACTGCTGCATACCTGCACCCCAGTCGGAAGAACCAACTTCGTGGGACTCACTGCTTCTGTCTGAGCCTCCACCATAGGGAGCACCGTATTGCGGCTGGCCTTGGCTCGCTGCAATGCTACAGCATGCTTCTCGTCCGAATATAACCGCTGGCACTACCTGGCTATCGGTGCTTGAGCTGCGGCACTCAAGCACCCCCTCTCTTGGCGACCGTTTCGTGTGAAAGGACTTGGGCTGAGAGGGCTCAACAGGCTGCGAGGGCAAGGAGGCCGAGGTGATGACCCGCCATTGCAGGCCTGACCAAGAGTAAGAACCGCTCCGTTTCCGATCTTTGCCTCTCCAAGTGCTGCCAGATTCTAGGGCCGCTGCGGTGGCTGCTGCAACCTTTCATGGGTAACGTTCTTGGCTTCAAAAGCTTGCACGAGTTTGCACCAGGGTTTGGCTGAAACCCTCACGGGCGGGGGGGGCTCACGAGGTTTTGGGGATGTTTTGAATAGAGGTGCAACTCTATCAATCTGCGGTGTAACTTACACGAGCAAGCATAGGCCAACCACAGACCTCAGATCCCATACACCCCACAGTCTTTCTGAAACAACCCGCCGAAAACCACAATATGCAAAGCCACCACCCAAATCCACACAACAATTAATCCATAAAACGACCGCAAAAACTACACAACGCACCACAAACCAGAACAACATCCCAAAACTAAGAGCACCCCAAAACAAATCCTACGCTCGACTACTCCTAATCAGATCCGGGGTGTGCTCCCGCATAGATAACTTCCCCAATGCCCATAACCACCCACGTGCGTTAGCACAGCGCTTAAACGTCGTTTCCTATACCAGCACCCGAGTTTCGCTTTTTGCCGAGCAACAGGTTACAATTTTTTACCTTTTCATTATTGACGCATAGAAGCGCTGACGCCGCAACTGGTGGTAGGTTCACGCAGATTGCGAGTAGTAGAACGGGCAGTAACAAGCAGACTTTGAACAGCCTAGGAAACGTACCAGCAGAAGCCAGTTTGAATGATCATTATCAGTAGAATATAACCGCAGATTAGCCATCACATCGACAGGAGTTGATGTTTATGGCGCTTTAACGAGAACGGGAGCAGCAAAATTTACTGGAACAATGACTTGCGATGATAATCTAGAAACACGACATATGCCGCTGAAGGACAACACGAAAGAAGTGAGCACTAAGTAATGCTATCAAAGCTTTTCAAGTGTATGGGACCGAAAACATCTTACCTTAGTGATAATGAGGATGTCATTTGTCGCTGATGATTGTGAAGATGCAAAAAATGCCAACAGAATGGCACATAATCTGACGTCATGAAGAAAATGTGAAACTGCTAAGTCACAACAAAACACCAACATTATTATGAGGAGCTGTTAGAGCTATGATGAAGAAGTAACGCAGCTGAAGAAGGAAATTATCAAAGTTTGAAGGCAATGCGAAAGGTCATACATAGATATTCAAAACAACAAAAACTTACAAAATGTGCCGATACTTTGACATACTAGTAATGAGAAGCGACAGCAATAGAAACCAAAAACCGTTGTGCCAGTCAAAAGAGCAACTAGAAAAACTTGAAGCACACGTGCTTGAAGGAGATGACAAAAAGGTGCTCGCCTAGTTAATTTCAGATTCCAGGTAGGGGTGGCGTGGAAGTTGCGATGTTTGCAGGCTTACATCATTTCCCTGTTCAGGGTTTTAGGTTAAAGGTGGTACTCTTCTATAGCGGACCTCTTGTTGAGGAAAAGCTGTGGGTGAGGAACAGTTTCGGGTAGGAATTGTGTGGGCTTCGTTTCTCGGATTGTGTTTTGGATCTTGGCTTGGAGTTTGGTGGGTGGCATTGTATTGGGGTTGAGACATTGTGTAAATACAATGTGGACGGGAGTACAGGAGGTGAGGTCTGGGGCTAGCCTATGCTTGCTTGCTTGCCATATATATGTACCTGTGCCCAACCCTGAATTTGGCATTCCTGCGGGCGACACTTGCTTGGGCCGCAGAACATGCGGCAGGATCGCCGATTCAAGATCGCACCGGGCAGGACGTCCCCGTTCGGAACCCCAATCCCTGCTTTCTCCAAGCCACCATGAACCCCTTGAGTGCAGAAGGCAAATCCTCAACTCGAATCGGAGCGATAGGCGGCCAAAAGCTTGGCATCAACAATCGCAACCCCCAAATGCAACGATGGACGACAGACTAGACGCATCAGCACACTGATAGGCAATGGGACTCTCAGATAGACAAAAAGATGAGTGTTAGCACACTAGGGACCTGACCCCTGTCTGCGCGATCTTAGCATGCCATGGCATCAACGAGCTGCATTGTAGCTGCTGTTTGCAATGGGCAGCAAACTAACAAACAGCCAGGCCGTGCCAACTAAATCTGGAGCAAGAAACAAATTACAACATGCGAACTGCAGAATGGCCTGTGTTGTGAGTGAGTGAGTGAGTGAGTGAGTGGGTGAGCTGGGGTGCTCTCCACCCAAGGAAACGGTCCCTCTCGCCTGTTCTGCCCCTCCGGGCCCATCAGTCGAGCCTGGGATTTGGGCAGAGATGTGCCACCCGAACCTCCATGGGCCCTCCGCCCCAAGCCGCGCGGCTACTAAGGTGGGGAACTGGCTCGAAGACAACGCATGGGGGACAGGGGTGGTCGAACAAACGCATACACACGCACAGCACTGGCAGCGAGACGAAGGGCGGCGAAAGCACTTTCAACTGATGCCCTTGTGGCTGCAAATACTCACACATACTCACACAGTGCCCCCTTGTCGTGGCGATGCCTGATGCTGCAGGCCCCTCCGGGTTGAGAACTGTGATCAACAGCTTTTGCCGAATGAGGGGCGAGTTTAAGAATTGTGATCAGCCGCTTTGCGGCGGTTCTATAAGAAGTGTGGTCCACCGTCTGAGGGGGCAAGGTTTTAAACTTGTGATCATTGATCAGCATTTAGTCAAAAAAATGTGATCATCCGCTTTCGAAATGAGGAGGCGGGTGTAAGAAACGCGACCAGCCGCATTCGTCTGATGAGACGGCGGGTTCAACATGTGACCCCGTACCCCTCCCCTCGCATTCGTTTTTTGCATGTGCTTCGCGTCTTTTCGACGGCCAGCATATTATAAGCCCGACTAGGAGCTTGGCATTTCTATTGCAGACTACGGTGGTGGCCGGCTACCCCACAAAGCATGGGATGACAGATGACGCAAGCGCCTGTGAACCGTAAAGAAGCTCAAGGGCAGGGCCCCAAGTGAGAGACAGCAAATCCGGAGCCCTGCACGACCTGGCTCCTGTGTCCTTCTCGGCTCAGCACTTCTTGGCTCTTTGCTTATAGTCATACCCCCCCGTTCTCCTCGTTTCCTCATCATCACCATCAAACCATCATCTTCCGTATGATTAGGATCCGACACCTGCCATAAAAACCAAACCTACTGCTTGATGAACATACCCGAGAATGGAAGGCCATCTCCCAGAATCGAGCAGCTAAACCAGTGTTACCGATCTGAGGCAGCCGCGGTTGCTGTTGGTGTGGGCAGGGGTGCGGCTGCTGCGGTTGCAGAGGCTGCAGAGGCTGCTGAGGCTGCTGAGGCTGCTGAGGCTGCTGAGGCTGAGGTGGAGCGGGGGGTGTTGGAATCTGCGACGCCGCAGGCCTGATGATGCATCAGGCTCGCAGACACTCATCTCTGCATTGCGCTGTTCTCCCATCACTGAGAACAGGGCTTCTCACGCTCAGCCTTCAGATGCCCAAAAACAGTTCGTGATTGAGTGGAAAGCCGACAAGAGACACCACCTCTGCGGAAGACCCTGCCTGCGGCTCCCTACTGGGAGCTGCCTCCTGCATCAAAAGACGTAACAAGCTCAGGCAAGGAAGGCCCGGTGATGCAAAGGGGGACAGCATCGTTTAACCTGAACCTCAACCAAGTCAATCCAACCTCACCTTAACAACAATCTACATAGTCTGATTCCGACCTACCCCAATCTAACCTAACCGAAACCTGGCGGATCCTAACCCGACCCAAGCTTACCTGACCCTGACCCACCCCGACCTAATCCCAACCAACCTAGCCCGGCAATACCCAACCCAGCCCAACCTACCCCAAACTAACCCGAAGAGGCCACGTAACCGCACCCGGACCTGACCTTAACAAGCCTTACCCAAGCCACCCCAACCTAGTTCACCCACCAAGCTCCGCAACCGAACTCAAGCCAACCGGAGTTAACCTAACCTGATCTAGGCCAACTCAAACCTAACCCGAACCGTAGCCTAACCAATCAAACCTAACCCGGCCTAACATCACTCTGACGTAACCTAGCCGACCGAACTTAAACTAATCCAACTCATCCCAGCCCAAGCGGCCGAACCCAACGTACCCACCCCAGCCCAACCTTCCTTCCCTCCCATTCTCCCACAACCTGGGTTAAGCCTCCGCAACCTAACGCGACCCGACCTGACCGAATCTTTCCCCTAAACAAACCTAACCCTAAACAAACCTAACCCCAGCCGCCCCAGCCTACCCTGACCCCACCCACCGTGCCTTAACCCGACCTTACCCAGCCTCCACTAGATTAAACTTATCTCAACCCGACCTAAATCTGACGGTGGACTTTTCGAAGCTGTAAAAAAGGAGTTTGAGCCGGGCTCAAAGTGACCTAAGCTACCCAAACCCAACCCAAACAAACCTACCCAGAGCCAACCTAGCTTGTACCTGGCCTCCCTATCTGGCCCACTCTGGAACCTAACCCAACCCATGCTCGGCCTGACTGATGCGAGACAACCCAACCTGACACGACAAAACCACAGCCCACAGTAACCTACCCTACCCCATCTCGCTTCAACCGAACTTCAACCTAGGCCTAACCCGGCAAATCCAACCAAACCTAACCTGACCCTGAACCTGACCCTGAATCAGCCTTATTCAACCCCAACCTACCCTGCCCAAAACCACCTCACGTCTAAGTCAACCTGCACGTGTGCTAACCCAACCCAAAAACCTAAGCCCGACGTACCCTGACCCAACCCACCCTACCCTGACCCAACCTGGACCACCGCAACTCCTGGACAACCTAACCTGACCTAACCCAGCCCAACACTGCTAACCCAACCTACTGAGCTAACCCAACCTGGCGTACCCAAAACTCAACCCCAACTGACCCTGAAATAATTCCCTACCCTTACCTAACCTAACCTCTCTCCAACTACCTAGTGTAGCCCAACCTACTTGAATCGCAACCGCAGCCTACCCAACCTAAACTAATCGAGCCTTTGCCAATCAGAACCAACCTACCCCAAGCTTACCTCCAAATAAAGCTAGCTTCAACTTGAACTGACCCAACCCCAACCTACCCTGACCGAACCCGCCTATCCTGAGTTAATTCAACGCAACCGACCCATTCTTGGAGTGCTAGCCTCACCTCACCTACCTGGACATAACCTAACCGATCTAGGCTAACCTATACAAAATCGTGTATGAGCGAACCCTAAGAAAGATACAGGTAAGAAAGATTGCAGGGAACCCGACGATATAAACTGCGTGAGCTTGGGGAAAGGGAACTGAAAATCAGGAATCGCCGAATCTCCCACCCTTCGCGAGTTGACTGAAAGAACGATTGGGTTCAATGAAAGAGTGCCTGGGCTGAAAGAACCACGGTCGATTCAAAGGGCCTTGGGTGCCGGTCGGTCACGCCAGTTCGTGGAGCGTGAAGCTTCAGAGTCCCGGTCGCGCCAGGAGCCTGGGAGGATCTTGGATGAAGCTCTCAATCAGAATGCCGAGTTGCTTCCTTAGGCAAGGGCTCGCAGTCTTAGCCTCTGCTGCAGCCTTTTCGTCACGCTCCTTCTGCTCCTTCTGCTGCTGCAGCTTGGAGTTGAAGAAGCGCGGGGGTCCTCGCTGAGGTGAGAACTGTGCTTGTGGCTCAACTCCGAGCTTGCCGCCATGACCCGCCCTGCCTGAAGGTTTCGCTGCTGGCCTCAGAGTGTATGGGTCAAAAGAACTTCCGCTCACCTTTGACCGTGGCTGTCTCGGACGTGCACGTGGACGTGTCAGGTCGCGCCGTCCCAGCCGAAGGAGTCGCAGGGGCACCACTGCCGCCGAAACGCCAGTTCTCTGATCCTGAAGAAGGATTTGCAGGGACGGGCACGAGTTGCTTCGGACCGTCACCTCCTGATGGCGTCTGCGGCTTCGGCGGGGGGGCCTCGAGCACAAATGCTTGCTTGCCTTGCCGCCTGGCCTTGGAGAGAAGCCAGTCGAATGCCATGCCTTCTCTGCAGTCGGCCTGGCATATTAAAGGCTAGGCGGCTAGGCGGCCAGCGGCCAGTGGAAGATCGGCCATCTGAGCTGGGCACGCTGGCACTGAGTTTCCCGTCAGCCGGCCTGAAGAGCGAGCACGCGCCAGGCGGCAGGAATCAAGAGCGACAAAGGCTCCCACCCCGACCGAGAGCATCCCAGCGATCCTCCTGAAAGTCAGATCAAGCCGGGATGCCACGCGCACGCGGTGGGGCCGCACAGCCTTCACCTCTTTTTTCTCATCCTTCTTCTCCAAGGCAGTCTCGCGTCGCTTACCGATGGCCGCCCATCTCAGAATGCGCATCACTGGCGGCAGGAAGCTAAGACACGGAACTGAGACTTTGACTCAGCCTTTTCTCTGTCTGTGGCCTTAAAGGCCGTTGACCTTACAGGGAAACCCTTTAAATTTAGCCATTTCTCTCGCCCCACAAGACTGGGGTCCAGACTCGATGCTGGTCTTGCCTTTCTCCCAGGGAGGCGTGGCCTTGGAGCTTATACGCGTCTACTCACCGCATGACACAAGAGACCGCTTTGCAGCTGGGCGGCTGCTCTGTCCTTCCGTTGGACCACCGTGGCTGCCTGCACACAAAGACCACACAAAGAGCACTCGAAACATCTCTGAAAGGATTTTAGCGCTCCTCCGCCTCCTCCTTGGCACGGAGTTCCTTCTCCTGCCCAAGCCGCAAGCCATGATTTGTACTTCGCGCCACAGCAGGGACTGACTGGAAAGCTGGGGGAACGCGCTTGCAAGGCCAGGAACGCGTAGGACGGAGGCAATGTCAAAGGCTTGGCGCAGCGCAATCGGACATACTCGCACATAGCCACATCATCGTCGCGGGAGGGACAACTACAAAAATCAGCCTACGAGCCTTTGGTTGTCGCGAGGAAAAACCCCGTCGGTCGAATCACCATGCAGGACAAGCGTGATTTGAAGGGAAGATGATTCCGTTTCATGAAGCAAGAAAAAGGCGAGGCCAGGAAACTTTCCCGCACGAAAAGACCGGGAAGTCCAGGCCTGGGTGCTCTCCCTGCGATATCCTTTGTGCTGCCGGAAACGCTGCTCCAGGGACTGGAGTTCGACGTAGACCTCGAACAGAAAGCCACAAAGTGCGTGCCTACCGCCTGCCCGTGAGCCCCTTTCTGACAATCTCTGTTGCACACTGGCACCACCACCACCAGCTGAGCTCTTGGCGGCAGCGTACTGGTCAACCTTTGACTGCTCCTCCTGTCCAAAGTTTCAAAGCCTTCTTGTACTCAAACTGTGGGCAAACACGAGACCTCCGTCAGGTGCTGCCCATTCTCCACCTGAGCCTTTCAACGAGTGTCAGATGGCTCCTGACTGTTGCGGGGGCAAAGTGCCTTGAGTTCGTTGATCTCGGCCATTCGTTTTCGGCAGTTTGCAATCAACGCCTGAGTTGTGCTGCAGCATGACACTGGCAGAGCCCCGCACCGAGGCGCTCGAACTTCCCTTACCTCGAGGTTCTTGACCATGTAACTTCCTGCTTTCATTTGCAGCTTGTCCCTCGCTCCGGTCCTGTTTTTGAGTGTGCTTCGCGGGCCTGCTTCGCCTGGGCCGGAGGGAGCTAGCTCCGCAGCCTCGAGTCACGGTAGGTCGCAACGGAACGATTGAATCAAGGAACAAGCTCAGCCTGAGGAGCTCATAAGAGTTGCGCTGTCGCTTCGAGCTGAGAGACGAGAGAGACAGAGAAAGAGGCAGAGACAGAGACACGCAGACACGCAGACAGAGAGACGGAGAGACGGAGGAAGGGAGAGAGGCAGAGCGGGAGAGAGGGCGAGAGTGAGGAGCGAGGGAGAGAGGTGGAGGCGGTGGGGGAAAGGCATGTGGAAGGGGTTGGGGAAAGGAGGCAGGGATGGAGCAGGGGAGGAGGAGGAGGAGGCGGAGGCGGAGGCGGCGGAGGAGGAGGACGGGGAAAGAGGAGAGAGAACAGAAGTCAAACGCAACTGGCTCTGCAAGGGAAATGACACATCTCGGAGCCGCTCCCAGTTTGGCATGTTGACATTCCGATCAAAGTCCAACTCCTCGATGTCACACGTGGAGTAGTTGATCTTCACTGCCTCAGAGACCCGATGCTCAGGTTTCGATTTGCAGCAAGCCCTTCCCCTTCACGAATGTACACCGTTCGCCGCCTTGATGAAATATTTCACAGGCAGCCATCCATCCAACCTCATCCAGCTGCTGCAAGAGCAAGAGATCTCGGAGCTGGGAGGAAACCGCTAGGTGCGTGCCCTTGGGTGAGAATGACCTCATTCTTGCTGCGATAGAAGATCATCCCATCCTGCCGGACAGCAATGTGACGAGAAATGAAACGATGGCGATTGGACAAGTAGCAAGGTGATGCAGTCCAGCATGGCTGCAGGCACATCGATGTACAGAAACAGCTCAGCAGTGGATCGCATGCCCCGGATCTTGCCATCCTCTGCAGAACAAGGGATTGTCTTGCCGAGAGCGCAACCATCAGGGGGCCCCTGCCTCTGGGAGGCCCGGGGCGAGATGGATGTGGTTCCGCGCCACCTGACAAAACAAAGGGACAGGAGCGAAAGGGGGGTTGGCCTAGGCCAGGGGCGCAGTCCGGCAACTATGGGCGCACCTTCGAGAGGCCCTGCTTCTTGATGAAGGGCCAGTGCACGAGGTACGTGCCATGAACACAGTCCTGCACCTGTCGCGCAGCTGAGGGCTTGCGCTTGCCCCTTGCACTTTCCCTTGGGCCGTGACGGTGCTGGGGTCCGTGATGGGCTCCAGCAGGAGGTCGTCCTCGACAACCTCACTCCAAGACAACCACATGGAACCAAAATGAACAGAGCATGGAGGCCTTCATGGTGTGACCCTGGTTGGCACGGATCAAGAGCTCGCCATCGAACTCCCGAACCTGAGCAGGCCCCGCTCTCCCCCGCTTTCTCAAGGCGGTGCAGATGCTTCAGGCTACGGCCATTGTGTAGCGCTCCTTCTCATCGAAGTAGACGCAAGCCATCAGCTCCTTACCCATCCCACGGCGCTGCGGCACTCAGGTAAGTCATCTTTTCTGCCGCGGTGGCCTCCAGGTTGTATGGTCGGAAGTTTTTTAATTCCATGATGTCTTTCAGCCGGACGAAACCATCCTCAGCTAAGAAGAGCAGGGAAGGCCGGACAGGAGCGGGTTTCAGACCAGAGCCTTCCGGATTCTCACATCCAGCTTGTGAGCTGCATGCCGTAGCACATACGAGAACCTTCACAGAGCAAGCCTCTTCGGTTTAACTGACACATCCAGGCTGAGGTTGCCACATCTTGGAGATCTTCACGTGCTCACGATCCTCTGACATTCTGTTGAAAATGGGCTCCAACTGTGCCTTTTCGGGAAGCATACAATGGCTCACGATTCTTCACTCGACATCTGATAAGCGCACGAGGAGGGCCGTTTTTGAACAGCGTGTAAGGATCTCCCTAGTCACGCAAGCATAGATCTCCGCAGCACGGGGCTCAGAGTGTGGAAATGCGTGGCCGTCCTCGTGCGAAAGCTCGAGAAGATCTGAGTACATGTCCCGAAGCGACCTCTCTCCTGCCTCGAAGAAACCATCATTCCTGGAAGTATAAACACGCAGAGTTGGCTGATCGGACCGCCACCCGACAGGCCAACTGAAGATTGGGTCGTCGATTTGACCACCACTGAACATCACTGTCAATGCCCAGGGAGCTTTCCGAACACCTTTTCGACGGAGACTGTCCAGAGCCAAGGACACGCAGTTGGATCCTTGTGAGAAGCAGAGCAGCACGTCGACTGGATCCTGTGCCTGAACCTGGCTCAAAAAGCCATCGACCCCCTCATCAACAAAGTTGTAGCAGCCGTTCCCGTGTGAATACCAACAGCGAAACGGCTCGCCCTTCGAGATCGTCTTCTCTAGCTGACTGGGCTCTCGAAAAATCGGATCATCAGCACCAAAAACTCCTTGCCAGATGAGAGGAGCCTCCAGGCAAACCCACTCCGCCTCCTGAACGGCCTGAAACGCTTTCATGAAACGGAGAGTTTGAAATTTCATGATGGCAGAGTTGGAGCTTGCCCCGTGCACCAACAGAATCCGTAGTTTACGTGTTGAGTATTGCTCGCGTTCCGGTTCGAGAGCATCAAGCGTTGTCCGAGTCAAGTCCACAACCTCCACTTCTTTGTTTTTCTGCTCTTTATTCTCCTTCTCCTCGACCCAGGACTTCTTCGAGGTCTGCAACACGTGCAAGACATCCAGGTCGGTCTCGCCTTTGATCAATTCTGGAAGCATCTCCTTCAAACCCAAATGGCCCAAGTCCCAATGTCCCAACGAGGATGCTGCACGAAGACGCACACGCCAGCAGGGATCTCGTAGCAGCCCAAGGAACCCAGATTGAAAGTCCCTGGCCTCTGGGAGGTCAAGGCTCGTGAGAGCCCCATGCCCTACCAGAGCAGCCTCGCTGCGAACCGTGGCGTCGGGGTCGGCGAAAGACTTCGCCAGCAGAGCCAGCGTGTGTCTTCGCATCGTTACAGTCTGCTCAGATGCGCACAGGGCAGCGAGAACCCTTAAAGTCTTGCGCTTAAGGCGAAAAGATGCCTGGCTGCCTTCACCGAGAAGGCCGTCCAACAGGCTGCTGAGAACCTCCTCAGCCTCACTGGATTGCAGGTCCCGCGCCAAAAGCAGGGCCGCACGGAAGCTCGGATCCCGCAGGTCAGAGAGCAGCTCGAAGATTTCTTGGCTGCGACCACGCACGGGTTGAAGCAGGGCCTTCACAGCAATCACTAGCATCTAGGCAAGCACAGCAAGCACCTAGCTACTAAACCGCAAGAGCGGAGATAATCAGTGCATCAGAGTCCGGTCCTTCTGCTGCAGTGCTATGCTGACCCACCCAGTTGCAGGACCCTGACCGAGGCGTAGCCGATATTGGAGCCGTGTTCCCTCCAGAACCTGCTCCTCAAGGAAGCTTCCCATCAGCAAGCGCCCGGACACCTCTTCGGAGGTACTGCTGCCTGTACGAACTAAGACGCCGCTCGCACTCACCACGCGCCAAAGTGCCGGGACCCGTTCCACCAAGGCTTTCCCACTCTGAAGCCGAAGCGATACCCATCCTTCCGCAGGCCCAGATCCACAGAGTTTGCGGAAGTGCAGCCGATCTCCGAGCTGTGCCAGCTCGGTGAGGAGGGCCCCGGTGGCGAGGCGTTCCTCCGCCAAGTCCGCCGTTCGGACATCTTCGCCCACTCGAGCGATGATTCCACCCCTATCGCCACCGCCAACAACCCTCCACACGTGAGCATCTCCAGCTTGCATCCGGAGGCACCCTTGCAGCTGTTGCAAGCTGGACAAAGCCAAGTCAAGGCTGCAGGCCAGTTTCCATGACAAGAACTGACGAGAAAGCGTGCAAGCATGAGAATGACCAACAGCCAGGACAAATTTCGGCTCAGAACAGGAACTTTAACACAAGCAGCGCCGACAATCATGCGGCCTTGTCTCCATCTCGTTTCAGGTTCCACCGCTTGCCTGGCACCCAAAAGCTCTCGGACACTAGATCGCGCTTCGGAAGCAGAGCTCATGCCCAGATTTACCAACCATAGCTGATAACCAGCCCTTGCATACCTCCATCGTCATCGTCGTCATCCTGCGATGGGCATTGCGGATACAATGGTTAGATATTGTGTGGTTATGCTACAGAGTGCAAGATGCAAGACTGGGTTGCGGTCAAGACCAGGAGGTTGCGCGTCTCCACCCTGTCCCTGTCCACGGCACGAAAAAGTGCACACCTGCTAGCATTCGCGGAGAAGTGTTGCCTTCGACGAGGATGCGCCGCCAGCATTTTCACCTGATGCTTGAGCACGTACGAGCATCAGACGAAGAAACTTGCTCGGGCTCTGAACTGAAGTCGTTAAGATCATCCTCGTCCTCCTCCTGCAGACGTGGGTGGAAAGCTTCCGAGTCGTTCAGTACACTTCAGTCGGCCTCATCCGCCGATTGGAAGGAAGCATCCGAGATAGCATCCTGTTGGCATGTCGTCCGTCCATCTAAAGGCTCGGCTGAATGAAAACGCTCGCAACTGCTCCATGTATGCTTCGATGGGGCTCTGCTTCATGCATCGCAAGAGATGCCTCGTCAGCCTCACCAGACATCTCTGGAGAGCTGCCTCGTCACAAGAGGTGACCCAAAACTCCAGCAGTCTGTGCAGCGTAGGTTCCACACATCTGCGGTCGGCTCTTAGCACATCTACCCCGGGCCCACAGCAAAGCACTTGATCTGGCTTCTGGGGGCCAAGAGGTAGCTGCGGAAACACAACATAAAGGAACCCACAAGGGGCGGCGAAGCAGACCGGCGGCGATGCCCAGGCCGTGCTGTTTTGGCGTGGGATAAATGATCGCAGTTTTCTCTCTTGAGGAAAGAGCAAGCCGCGGCGATCGAAGGACATCACAACCCCTGCTGATAAAAAGAAACTCTCGGTACCTATGGCCCATGGCATCTGACCCTCGATCCACTCGGCAGGCAGTGTTCCAGGCACTCAGCTGCATAACTTGTCAGTGACCTCAACGACCCGATGCAGACGTGTGAAAAGCGTACGAGTAAGCTACTATTTGAGGTGAAGGCCGCCCTTCGCAGGGAGCTTGGAGGAGGCTACCTGATCGAAGTCGACCAGAGCAGAGCTCAGCTGCAAAAGGGTGGGAGCACCTCACTGAGGATGGCAAACGTCCCTTGAAGATACTCCAAAGGAGCACCCATTCCCAGGTCCTTCCACACCTTGAAGGCCTGATGCCCACCGCACCACGCAGTCGTGTCTCTTGAAATCTCTCCTGAATCCGCACCTTGCCGACCTCCTCCCAATCAACATAGGGTGCTTCCTCGTTCCCCCACTTGTCCTGAGCTTCACTGGCTTGAACTGATGATGAGGATTCTGAGGAATCGGAATGCACGTAGCATCTGTAGCCCACTCTCCCAGTCTCCCCATCCAACGTCTTTGCATCAGGGCGCAGAGTGACCCGGCCATGTGACGCCCCACACATAGGCGTGACCTCGACTGTCGGTTAGTACAAAGCCGTACTAATTTTTTCGAAGCAAGACGCCTCCTGGCGGATACTTTGGCTTCACCTCCTGCAAGCGGTCGGTGCGGCGTTTCATGCTCCCGAAGCTCCTCCAAGAGGATTCCTTCACCGGGTCGATGAGGGCCAAGGCTGCCTTGTCGTTCCTCTGGCCTCGAGCAGACCAGCAGATCTACTCCGAAGGCCTGCACCTTTCCGCTCTCGGCCAGGGTCACGGACTGTTGTTGAGGCCCATCTCCACTGCTGGTTTGATTCGCGGTATCATCGTCCGTGTTACAGACTTCACGGCCTGGCACGGTGAAGTCGACTGGCCGCTTGAACACATCTTGCCTCGCGGATAACATCTCGCCTGCATCCGGGACCTTGGCCACTCCGACACAGACTACCACAAGCACAGCACAGCGACGCCCAAGTCACATAGCACAGGAAGTGCCGTGAGTGCCGCACGCCATAGTGGATTCAGCACAAGTTAGCGGAGACCTCAATCAAAGCACATGCAGCACCGTCAAACAGAAGCTCTCAAGTCTTCTTCCACTCTGCCAAACTTCAGGCTTCCACACACAAGCAGCTACGGCGTGTAGGACGCAGCTTGAGCACTGAACTGTTGCGTGAGAAACCAGACTTGCATGGACGCAGAACTTGAACCCCAATGAAACTTGACACAAGGTGCGCGGACTTTTTTCTCAAGACCAGCGACCTCAGCCTGCTAGATGCCAGCTGTCGGCACACCCGGTCGCGCCAAACCACCGAGGTTCTCAAGCCTTCAAAGAAGGCGGACGATCCTTTCGTCACTCTCTCTCTCTCTCTCCTTCACGGCCAGCTTCAAGAACACGGCGAGAGCTGAATCGCCGGAGGCAGAGAAGCGGAGTGATCTTGGTGGACTCGGTGCAAGGTCGGGGAATCACTAGCGGCCGGGCTCGCACTAAATACATACAAGACGAACGGTCGACGCTCGGGCCGTCGGTGTCAAGTTCCGCTGAGTGCTCAAACCTCACAAGCATGTCACTTCGTTACATCACATGAAAGAGTATAAACAATCCTTGCAGAGGCACAAGCAGTTATAAGTTATATAGATATCTGCTCAAGCCTTTGAGCAAAGCTTTACGGGAAGCTTGGCCTGATCATCCTGTTCCTTGCATACTATCAGTATTGAACTCTGACATGATGCCTTTCCTTGCACTTCACGCCCCGTTTCGTGACATGCACTCACCCGCCATCTAAACTCGCAGCAGACCGCGAGAAGCAGAGCCCGAAACTGCTCGGCCTGAACGTCGCTATCGAGCTGGGACCACATCGGTTTCTTGACCTTCACGTGCCATCCCAGCCTTGCAGCAGTTCCGCCACACACAGGGTGCAGTCCGCGGCTTGTTGTACATACCAAACCATCGACTAGACTAGGGCTTGAGACAAAAGTGCTGCTGTGCGCTGCAAGCAACGCAGCACCCATCTGCTCGGCAGCCAAGTTGCCAAAGCGAATGTGCTCTGCTATGGTTTCCACCCACTGAGTGCAGGTCTTAACATCGCATGCATCAAAGCAGAAGGACCGCCGGGCATCTCCAGTGAAAGACGACGGCTCCCGCCAGCCGCGCGGCTCTTCTGGAGTGATAACGAAAGCCGTTTCCGCCGCCACATCTTTTTGTATCTGTGCCCGGTGCACTAGAAAGTTGATGCAGCCCTTGGCTTGACCTTTGCTGGACACTCCTTCGTCATCAAACCACATAAAATGCCCATCTTGAACCACACAAACTCGTGGCTGCTGGTCAACTCCGAGAAGACGAAGCATTGCTCGCAGGCGGTTTGGACTTGTTTTGAGCAGTGACCCACGCAGCTTTGGCAGCGCAGGCAAGGAATCGAACGCGAACTCCTTCGTGCGTGTCACGGTCGTACCCAAAGACTTCCATGGTAAGCACTCCGGATTCCCACCTTGTGCAGCTGGGAGGCTTTTGGGGAAGTCTCGGGGTCTTGGGTGGGTCTTGAGGGTGTTCGGAGGACCTTCACTGCTTGTGGGCGTCCGTGCCCGCAGGACTTCAATGCACAGAACTGAGATCGGGACCTTTCTTGCGGTGGAGGACTGTGCGGCCTTCTTCTCGGAAGAGCTGCTTGGTGACTACCTAGGATGTGGAGAGTGGAGGGAGTGAGGAGCGTGCGGGAGTTGGGAATGGGCCTGTTGCGGAGTGCGCCGGAAGCCAAATCAAGCGATGTGAGGAATGCATTTAGATCTGCATTGCATCACTCCAAACAGAACGAGTGGTTAGATCAAGCACCAAGGCTTCAAGGAACTCAAGCGATCACCACATCCGTTTCGACGTGTCAAGTGAACTCTTAGACCAGACGAGTCCGAGGTCAAGGCACCACTTCACGAAGGAGCCCTGCACCTCCGACGAGGGCTTTGGCGTTGCTGATCTCAATCTCGCGTGTCTCCTGCACGGAGTCCCGGATCTCATTTCCGAGCACCTGCCGACGTCAGACAAATGTAACAAAGCACTTGTCGGGCATCTGGCCCCAACCCTCATATTGTCCCGGGGTAAGCTCTGTCAAACCGTCAACTTCTCGCATGTCTGACACTGGTGACTTGTGTGACACAGTTGACATGGGTCGCGGCTTCATGCGAGCGGGATGATCAACACATCACGACGTCAACTTACATTAAGCTGGTGCTCAGTGTTGAAAGGAACTTGCCTTGACTTCGCGTTGGTGTCAAGCTTCTGACGGGCCGAACCGGATCTGAGG